GTTACTATCATCACTATTTGATTCAACAATATAACGATGTCTTCATCAGTCAAATAATGGAAGCCAGGCTCACATGCATCACTTTGAAACCAATCTTCTAAATTTTCTTCATTAAGAATTTCAAAACCTTGGATTTCTTTTGCTTGTTCGAGTATACTGTTATCATATTTTTCTTGAACATCTGAAGAGGATTGTTCATCAAGCGGTATCATCTCTCTCCAAGATCGTGATAACGCAGACGATTTTACCTTTGACCATTCTGCTGATGTTCCATATACTGCAATCCAATAACGAATATGGCTTCCAAAAATTTGATAGTGTTATAACTTCATGAATCAAATTTTTTTAATCTTGAAAATGCTTCTCTTTATATTTTTTGTGTGACTCCGGAATGAGCACGGATAATCAGCAAACCGGATAATCCGCGCACGGATAATCGAGAGTGTACTATATATATATAATTTTTCTTCTTTTTTTTCCAATGCTCAAATGGAGAATGACCTTTCATCATACAGGCATCCGGAGGGCAGATTTGTTGGCCACTCTTTCAGGGGCACCATATTAGGTGGGCCAACGTTGCGCTCACAGTAATAACAGATAGTACAGAAAAGGAAAGAACATTACTCCAATGAAAAATATAGGCAAAAATCAATCTGGCAAACTCCACCTACACACCTATGGTACACGGCAACATCTCTTGGCACCCTTCTGGGAATCAAGTGAGTTCGAAGCTCCCAGACTGCCTTGGCCAGATTCTCATCTTGTCACCTAAAATGTCCAACATTCGAACGTGTCACAAAAATTTAACAGAACTTGTAAAAAATGCTGTGTCCATCCAGCCTCACCAAAACATATACTTGCTTGTGTCGGACTATCCAGGGCGGACTTAACTTCCGATCCCCTTCTCGTCATCGACTTTCTGGCTGTCAACAACTTTTTGGAGTTGGTCTGACTGATGTCAGAACTATGAGGATAAGCAACAACAACAACAGGAAAGAACATCCATGCTTTGCCCGGGATTTGAACCCAGAACCTTTCTGAATGCAAAGCCAGTTCCCTGACCCCTACACAGACCAGTGGGTTTTAAATATATTATATAGTATATTAAAATAAATAGATATATTTTATAACATATTAAAGTAAATAAATTTTATTATAGCATATTAAAATATATTTGTAAAACTAACCAACTTAATTTCTAATATTAAAGTGACATTAACTTCTTTTAAACTTCTAACAACCTCGTTGAACATTTATCACCACTGTTTAAATTTTGACCGGTTGTGGTTACCCTGTTATACCAAACTTACCCTGTATACATCGGGTAAATTTTTCACCAATCTCTTCACCGGATACCAGTTTCTTCCTTGGCTTCCTGATATTGTCAACTCATACTGTGCTCTACTATTATTTTGATTCACGTATGCTAATTGCAAAGAACCAGTTCCTACAACAAGAAAAAATTAAGATTATTTTTTTTTACATCTTTAAGCGTGAGTTATATGCCGCTAGTCTATAATCAAACACTTATTGCTAATTTTATATAAATATTAAAATATTATGTGTTATTATTCTTACCGATTGACAATTTTTCTTATTTAACAGGCTAAATTGGCCATTTTTTCATTGTTTGCATTTGTTTATACTCGCTTTTATTTTGATAACATGTCCAAACTTAAAGACATTCAAAGTAATATATTTACTCTTTTTTTATAGATAATATCAAAGCTTGAAATGTGCAGTAGAAGAGAAATGCAAATTTCATTTTCGGTTCAAAATTGGCATCTGACATTTTTATCTTTTGTTTGAAATATTTTCATATCAAGCATCTTTTGCTTTCATTTCTCAATTGAAAAATAAGTCATAAATAGTTTATAGTCAAGTTAGTTATAGTTATAAGTCAAATGTTTTGCAGTAATTTTAATGAGACGTCTCAATTTAAAGTTTTCTTAAGTATCAGAGCAACAAGATACGAAAAACATTGTTAAAAACAAATGCAAGTTTTCTATAAACTCTATCTCAATCATTCCTAAAAATGTTTTTTTTTACCTTCTCCGTACATGTGATACCAAAATCTGAAGCAGGCATTCGGAGAGAAATGCATATTTTCGCTTTCCAGTACTGCTGTTTGTCCAACATATCCAAAATTTCCATCAATATAAATATACCACCCTGAAAAAATGAAATAGTAAATAATTATGTGATTTTATTTGGATAGTATTTTAAAAGCTTATTGGGTAAAAAAAATTTACAGATTTTTCTAATATTCTTGAAACATGAAATACATTGTTATTCCATGAGTTTTTTTTCTGGAAACCATTTCTTATTAGCAAAATCTCACCTTCAGCAGTTCCTGTCGTGTGGTCAAACGATGGACCAGTACCCTTATTTGGAGTGCTGCCAGAATTTCTAATCCATTGAAGACCGGTACTGATGGGTTGTGGTAAGTTTCTCCAAGTGCAAAAGTCCTTTTCAAAATTGCAACTTCCGTAAGCAGGGCAGGTTTCGTCTTCGACAGCCAAATCATCCACAGCAACGTAAGTGCCTTTCGTTTTCTCTGCATACATAATAATCTAAAAAAAATATTATAAATGATCTTCCTATAAAGATTTCGAGTCAGAACTTTAGTCATCAAACCCAGGCAGAACATAAGAGAAGGGAATAAAAGATGACCAGAAGCTCAAATATTGAAGACAGTCCTTGAGTTTCAAAAATTGTTCTCGAAAACTTTCAGCCTATTCAATAACAGAAAATATCCTAAAATCTTAATTCATTGAATATATAATTACTATTGGTCATTACTATTCGTTATAAATTTCGATGAAATTCACAGATATTATAGGACGTGTGTCGTATAATATCTGTGAATTTCATCGAAAACATCTCATCTTCTTTTATAGGCAGTGAAATATCAAAAAATCAGAAGTGAACATGCGTTTTTTAATCAAGAAACGAAAAAAGCAAACGAATGTGGTCAAACCATTCTATGACATATTAGGTGACATATTTTTAATACAACAGTGAGTGTTACGAATTACTTGAATATATAACTTCATGATTTGAATCAGCAAGTGATTTGAATCAGTGATCCGAATCACTGATTCCATTCATTCGAATAACCTTGATGATTTGTTTTGCCCATCTATTCAGTAATGAGAAATAATGAATGAAAAAAAGTTTATAGATTTTCCTTATTTTCACAATAGAAGGACTTGGCGCTGAATAAATAAGCCATACTTTTTCTTAAGGTGAAATTTTTAGATCAAATTGTTCCTCAGTAGAATTTACAAACGGGTAATTTAAATGTTGCTAAAATCTTCTCTATATGTAACACCACAATACTGTACAAAATATCTTATTGCCTTCTGGAAAATCTTGTTATATTTCACCATAACTGAACTTAAAAAGCGTTTTCCGGATCAATTTTATTACGTAGCTTATGATCATATTCTCTTAAGGCCTGGTTTCTTAAGACAAGCGCCTCTGGGCGTCAGCGGGAAGTTGACGTACAGCTGACTTCAACAAAATCCTGTTTTGTTAGTTCAGCGTGAGCAGTCGGTCCAACGCAGACATTATCTCGCATTGCGCATGCGTTAATAACGTAAACAAATATTTATTTTGAATTTGTATTGATTTTGTTATTGTCGGCCAGTGCTTTAGAGCACAAATAATGACTTTGGTCAAGAATAAACTTATTATAGCTTAGCTAAATGAAGAAGAAGAGGAAGAAGAAGCTATGTTTAATGTTAAAATCAAGATCTTGACTGTTTTCAATGCTCTGTTGGATGTTGTCCGCCATTGCTTCAGTCGTTAACGTTACGTTGTAATTCAACAGCAGTTGATTCGGACGTCAGTCGTCGTTCAAGCTGAGCTTTCGATGACGTATACTGTCGAACTAACAAATTGACCAATCAGGAATTAGAGCTCGCTTCAAGCTGACGTTTTGTAACGCCGACCTGTCCTAAGAAACCAGGCTGATTTTTAATTGAAAGAATTGTCATAAAACTCATTTCACTTACATCATAGTCTCCTTTGTCCAGATCTTTAATAGTTGCTCGACTATGTATCCATTCGCCATCTGTGTTGGGTTCCGCATATTCCGTCCAAACGGAAATAACATCATCTTTGGTTGTTTTTTCAGTATTTTGTACTATCAGAAATGTTTCTCTTCCGCCTTCAAGAAAGTACCAGAAGTTCAGGCATGTACCAGAATGTTTGGTGAAATTGTAGTTTGGACTTGTCATTGTACCACTGGTGCCATCCAGAGCGGCATAATTTCCTGTAATATTGTTGACTTAGGAATGTTTTAGTTTTAAACATGTTTTGTAAGAAAATAGTTAATATTTACTAAAGGTTATTCCTAAATTCAAGCAAACATTGCCAACTAAAATAGCAAAAAAACCCAGCGGGATAGCTGATAGTTCAGGATAATTAAAAATGGATGGTTATGCGAAGGAACGAAGCGTTTTCAATGTTGATCAACATTTTAAAAACTGTTATGTCCTTCTTTGTGCGGGTAATTTGCGCTGTCGTAATTAAAAGTGGCCATCCGGATCATACCATATAACACTGTATAACTTTTTTAAGAAAGAAAAAAATAATGATTAAGCCAACAAATTCATAGCCACATAGACCTTAAAAGAGCATATTGAAAGCTGTATATACGAAATTCAACCACATTTATGCAAAATTGTAATTTAAAATCTCAGTAAATGAGTAAGTGTGAGCAGCAGAGAATATATACCCAATATACTATTCCATGCATAATTAATACTGTATACTTTAAGAACAAATATAAAAAAACTCTAACTTTTTAATTGAAAATCTAAGTCTTCTATTATTATTTTTTTTCATTACTTTTGGGACACCCTGCATTTCTTATTACTTAATCTAGTAGAAAAGTATTCAATCATTTGTTTATACTAAATAATGCCACTTGGCAAAATTTTCCCACCTAGATGAAAATTATCAAAATATTAATGCCATTTTTCCATTTTTCGCAAACTATGAGCCCAGATAATGCAGCATTGGAATAAATTGTAATATATGAAAAAAATAGACCACAAACGGTTTTCATTTTATTAAAACTGTGGCTTTTCTCCGTATTGACGTTTTGTACAATTTTTAGAATAAATATTGAGGGAGCTGGTTAAAGATAAGCTAAACTCGACCATACAGTCATGAGTAACTGCTACTATCATTTGTGAATCATAGTTGAATATAGCATATTATTTGCAAAAAAAGTAGTATTTCATGTGATCCTAGAGCCTTCGAAGAACAGCAAGATTTAAAGCCGAGTACAGAAGTGTATGAGGCAGATGGAAGTTATTTCGAAACATATAAATTATGAATGTAATTCCTGTAATATTTTCAAAGAATTCTTTGATCTTTCTTGGAGATTAACAGGCGCGCAGTGTAAATTTATTTACCTAATGCGAGGCATACATTTATTATTTTTTTTTGTTTATAAAATTCAGTAAATTCCTCATTTAATCGAGGTTTTTACTAAATAACAGTATACCAGTATCTGTTCCTGTAGTGTGGTCTACAGATGGAATGTTTCCTTTCCCAGTTTTCAAAATCCATCCATCTGCTATCCATTCACAAAAATCTGCTTCGAAGTCACAAGCCACTGAGGATAAAGATTGAGTGAGTTTTATCATAGCTATGAATGAAATAATGCAAAGCAATATTCATAATAAGACGGAGAGAGAAATTGAAAACATACCTGGATGAGGACATTCATTTTCGTAAGTTTCAATGTCATCCAGGGCAATGATAGGCTTTGAAAAGTTTCCAACTATTGCTTCAATAACAATCTGGAAAATATAACACAACATATAGAGGGTCTAAGCTTCGGAAATGTCATTCTTCAAAAGTTTCACAAATTTCTAAGAAACATCAATATGTGTGTTAAATAAATAATCGTAAGAAACTGAAGCGTAAGATATTACTTGATTAACGCTATGTTTATGGACGCTTCTTATATAGCTATCTCTACGAACACGCGTCAATTTGACGCATAAACGAATACATCACTAGGTTTACAGACGTTTCTTATATACCTATCTCTACGAACACGCGTCAATTTGACGCATAAACATGTACATCACTAGGTTTACAGACGTTTCTTATATACATATCTCTACGAACACGCGTCAATTTGACGCATAAACGAATACATCACTAGGTTTACAGACGTTTCTTATATACCTATCTCTACGAACAAGCGTCAATTTGACGTATGAACGAATACATATAATGGTGATTCTTAGTTTAATAAATTTAATTTAGAACATTTTTATCCACCACTATATTTCTGAATAACTCGTAGACTTATATAATTCACCACTTTATATTTGCAATATTTAGTTAGCAGTTATTTACCGTTTTTAATTATTTTGACGTGTCCGGAGCAGTTGGCATCTCTGCACTTAGAAAGCAATGTAATTAAAATAAGAAGAAAATAGAAATATTCTATTCATTTTTCAATACTCGAACTAAGCAACTGAAACCTTCAAAATCTGACACTCTGACATCGACATTCTGCGTTTGTTCTTTCTATTATTGCTTATCGGCAACAGTTGTTTATCGCTTGTTTCATTTGAGATAACGGATCGCAGTATTGTTGGTACATTCTTATTTATTATTGATGTGATGGTTGCATGTTTACTCAAAATTTTGTCTAAATTACGATTGCGTCAAATTCACTCACATCCGTAAAGATAGGTATACCACAAAAAGAATTTCAATATTTCAATGCTTTTGAAGAAAACAGACTTCAATATATATTTACTTCGATCAATGGTTAAAAGTCATTACAAGAGATAAAGTAAAAATTCAAACAGGTTTTACAATTTTCTTTACAAAACTCGAAATGCGTCAAAATGACGCGTCCCGTAAACCTAGTGTTAAAAAACATCATTCGTTTCAAAAATATATAGAATATATATTTTCTCATTTGTTATAAAAATATTTCCAATCTTTATATTTTCGAAGCGAAGGAAGGTTTTGAATCAATTAATGTGCCACAAAATAAATTAAATAAAAAACTTTTTTTCCCCTCATACTTGAAACGGACGAAAAGTTGACACGTTTTGAGCCTTCGAATATGACACCCCTCTTCAAGACAACATGCGGCGGAACAGAAATAGGTTAAAAATAGGGGAAAAATGCATTTCACTCGTGGACAGCTGTGTTTCTTTGTTTTGTTTCTAACTTGTTTCTGTTCTCATCATTTATATTCTGTTGTTCTGGATGGAGCCGTCATGTCTTGGTTCTCGATACGAGTTCAGAGTGATAAATGCACGCATTTCAACAAGCTCATAAATCATCGCAATATTTTGTTAACAAGTAACAAATTTAACTTGATGCAAAATCTTTCCATCTTTATTTTTTTGTACTTAAAAAGACGCTATATCGAGGGATTTGCAAATTGCAAATTTTTTTTTACCCTACGTAAGTCATTTAAAACATAAAGCATAGAAAAATAGAGTTAGAGTAAACAATGAAGGGGAAATATTTTGTCAAAATATCAAAATGCAAACCAACTATGGCAAAATTAATCAAGCTTACGAAATGGAGAAGTAATTCTGTAATAATGATTTCTTTGTCTTTCAATATTCCGTAAATATTTGTTCAGTTTTCGAAACTTCAGGGTTTACTTTGAGTTTACTCTAAATTCACTTTTCTCAAAATTGTAAATTTTAAGCTACCCTTAGAGGTGAAGCAAAATTTGCGATGAAAAATTTCTCCCTCTGTGTAGCGTCCCTTTAAGTGGTAAATAATATAAGAAAATCAACAATAATTCGCATTTTTCACCAGTAGGAGATCCGCATCTTTATACGTTATATGTAATCTTTATTATATTTTGCAGTGGACTGACATGGTTTCCAGTGGATCTTCGCAGTGAAGCATCACTGGCTGTGGTTAGTGAGCTGGTGGGGGACTACTTAGATTAGCTCGTGAAGAAAGTGGCGGTATCTGTCCTCATTAAACTGTTCTACCGTAAAGTGCTCAAATTCAAGCGTAAGCCCAGTTACCAAACCAGAAAAGTTATCCCCACTGCAGAGGATCAGAATTGTGACAGCAGAATTGTGATAATCCTCGGGGATGTCTCTCAGATCGTCGCTAATAGTCAATTATGTAACTGTAGGTTGACTTAACCCTTTGACTATGAATTTTAAAAAAAGATTTTTTTGTCCCGTTTATTATTCAAAAGGACAAAAGGATTTTTCTGACAAGCGGTTATCAATTTAGAGGCTGGGACATGTATGTCCCGGCCGTACTTAATGGTGGGATACACATGTCCCACTTGTAGTGATCAACTTACTACAAGCGCATCTATCATTCCGGAAAAATTTATTATATGGACTTTTTTTTACATGGTATGATACACGGTGAAGCAATCGTTGCAAAACCCGAATTTACAAATTGGACAACTCATATTTGTTCTTTTTTCTATGTTCATTTGAGAAAATATGAATAAAATATGAATAGACATAACAATCCCAATAAAGAATACGAGTGAGATATATCTGTCCTAATGAAGAGTACTGGTGGGATATATCTGTCCCAGCGCAAAATCACAATGCTATATCATGCAAGAAACTCTTTAGCACCATCTAGGGGATATTTGACACATGAAACACGTATACTTGGTTCGACTCTACGACTAGGACATATTACAATGAGTTTTAAAGTGCTTTTCACCCAATTAGTAATTTCTAAACATTTATTGAGACAAGTGAGTCCCGTTAGTAGTCAAAAGGGGTTAAGTAAAGTACTAATATTTCAAGTAATGCGCACTTACCGAATAAGTCTTGCTGCTACGAATGGTTCTCATTCCTTGCTTCCACGCATTGCCTTGCGAATTAGTCTTACTCCAAATTGTTTTATTATCAGAATCAGTCCTGATAATTATATTAAGGGTTCCAACGTCTTGGCCATACATATGGTACCAGAAACTGAAGCAGAGGTTTTCCGTTAGATTTTGTTTCATGCTGACCATGTGAGCCTTATCTCCTCTTTTTAAATTAGTAGAAGCTGTTACGTACACAAAGTAACCTGCGTGTAATGATAACACAAGAAAACAGATGATTTGTAGAATGAATGACTATAATATGATACTGGTAGTTTATACACTAGTATTAGAAGGTATAATTTTTTTAAAACTTAACTTTTTGGGAGATTTATCGTTTTTTCTCTAGCATGAGATTATTATTGAAATAAGAAATATAATAAGGTTGGTTGGATTGAGTTTATTCACACAATACCAGGGTTTAATGTTACTACACTCAACTTAAACTAAACGATACTGAACTCTTCTGCACTTGGGGACTTATGCACTCGCGTAGAGACTTTGTCATGAATCACATTAGTACCTGCAGCAGTTGAGCTAAGGAGAAAAATTAACTTTAAAAAATCATTACTTTTAAAGAATCTTCGTTGCTAAAATGCTAATTGCAATAAATGGGCACATACTAGGTAAATTGTGATGAAAAGGAATATGCTGTGAGTTATGTATGAAGCAGAAACGAAAGGGTTCAGAAAATTTATACATGTATGAGCAAAGCAATATAGTTCAAAGTCTATAATAAGTAATATATAAATTTTATTTTATTTGATGCTAAAAATCTAATTTTGTACTGATATAGGCAAATAAAATTATTTTTGAGAATTGTATGAGCTGGACCCATCATTAGTAATGTTTGATCACGGTTGGTAACGTTTTCGTTTTTTCATACTGAAAATAATTCGATACCCTTTACTTGCAAAATGTTTTATAAGAATGCTAAAAATATATATCTTGCGTATTCTTAACTATAGTGTATCAGGCTCCGCGGCCCTAGAGGACGCCGGGTGGGGGAAGCACCCCCTCCCAATCCATTTCACTACCACCAGGAATGATGCTTCCTCCAGGGTCCATGCCACCTGGATATATGTAACAGCACATTCCCAGTGGAAAGCCCATAGATCATGCATAAATATCCGACATTTCGAATTGGGAAAATATTTTGCTTCAGCATATTAGTGGTAAATAATTTTCTTTGACAAGGTTATTTTGTCAGGGTTTTAAAATTATACACTACCAAATTTGGCGACTTCAGTTAGTTAATTTACACAACAGTATGTCAAAAAGATTATCGGATTACTTTTGATCCGACAAACTAAGGTTGCCTGCGTAGAATCTAGATAAAAGAGTTAATGAAAACTTTTTTATTGTAAGGACTAATAATGGTCATCACTCCTTTGGCTTTCTTATAGTTTTGTCTTCTAGTTCCTCAATTTACTACCTCTATAGTGCTGCTTCTCTTAAGTTTAAGAGCATCAAGTTTCGTTAAAGTTACGGTTTTGGCAGATATGCAACAGGCGACTAATTATGTTAAAAATAGTAGAAACTCAATTCACTTTTATCTATTTATTATCTCTTTAATTATTCATAATTATCTACTACTACGACTTACATTTCATATTATTCAAATGCAAAAACTTTTTGCGTTCTCTTTCAAAAGAAAATTGCAAAAAATATGCCATAAAAAGTTTCTCATTTTTATTTCTTTTAATAAAATNTGATAATTTCTTTTTATGTTGTTTAATACCTTACTATGTGTTGTATATTGTGGGTAAATTTCATAAAATTCCATGTGTAATTTCTTGAGTTATCGCGATTTTTGTGAATTTTCCTTAATTTATGATAACCAGTGTATATGTAACAGCACATTCCCAGTGGAAGGCCCATAGATCATGTATAAGTATCCGACATTTCGAATTGTGAAAATATTTTGCTTTAGCGTATTAATGGTTGATTCAGCATATTAGTGGTAAATAATTTTCTTTGACAAGGTTATTTTTTCAAGGTTTTCAAATTATACACTACCAAATTTGGAGACTTAAGTTAGTTAATTTACACAACAGTATGTCAAAAAGCTTATCGGATTACTTTTGATCAGACTAACTAAGGTTGCCTGCGTGGAATCTAGATAAAAGAGTTAATGAAAACTTTTTTATTGTAAGGACTAATAATGGTCATCACTCCCTTGGCTCTCTTATAGTTTTGTCTTCTAGTTCCTCAATTTACAGAGATGCCAACTTGCTCCGGACAGTGAATATATATTTTAAAGTGGTAGTTTATCAATTGTGATTCTTGGTTTAATAAATTCAATTTAGTAGATTTTTATCCACCATTATTTCTAAATAATTCGTAGGTTTATATCATTCACCACTTTATAGTACTTACGTCATGTTATACCTTTTAAAAAGTGAGCAAAAATAGTTAAATATTTGCAGAATTTACTTTGTAGTTATTTACCGTTTTTATAATTATTTTGGCGTGTCCGGAGCAGTTGGCATCTCTGAATTTACTACCTCTATAGTGCTGCTTCTCTTAAGTTTAAGAGCATCAAGTTTCGGTAGAGTTATGGTTTTGGCAGATAAGACACAGGCGACTATTTTTGTTAAAAATGGTAGAAACTCAATTCACTTTTATCTATTTATTATCTCTTTAATTATTCAAACTTATCTACCACTACGACTTACATTTCATATTTTTCAAATGCAAAAATTTTTGCATTCTCTTTCAAAAGAAAACTGCAAAAAATATGCTATCAAAAGTTTCTCATTTTTAATTCTTTTAATAAAATTTTGAATTTTAATAGTTGGCACTTTTTGCAATTTTAGTCATCTAAAGCAACCCTGTTTTGGTAGAGTTAACAGCTTGCTTAGAGAATACGTTTAAGAGATAACAAATTGGAATGTCACGGGTATAAGGCGCAAAGATGCAAACTTGCACCGGACAGCGGATAAATATTTTCTTGTGATAGTGTTTTCATGTATGATTATTCACCACTTTATTTTTATTCACCACTACTTCTAAATAATTCAAAGGCTTTTATTAAACGTCACTTTGTCACATGTAGACCATATTAAGCCCTTTAAAAAAATTGGCAAAAATATCCAAATATCTAAAAATTTTAGTTCACAGTTCTCTACCGTTTTTTAAAATAATTTGTAGAATCTGAATCAGTTGGCATCTCTGTAAGGGTGGTAAATTGAGGAATTAAAAGAATTCCACTACTAAATACAATCGTTTTTCGATTGTTTGGACAGTTACTCGCAAAACTTAAAGATACATCATTTGACTGTGTATCAATTAAATCGGGCAACAAATCCTCTTTTTTTGATGTTTTAAATACCTAAGAAATTTCGGAAATAAAATAAAATATGTGGGAGGGAGAAACATTTCGGATAAAATTTCTGAGATGCCAGTGGCTCCGCTTTCGGATAATAATTTCAGAAAGTAGCAAAGAATTTAAAACTGAAATTTGCATTATTTTGTTCATTTCACCAATATTTTAACCCTTTAATGGGCCATTTATTTCTACTAATGGTAAATTAAAGTATTTTTGGTATTGAGATTGATATAAGAATAGTAATTGATATAAGAAAAAAAACTCATTTAGTTTATAAAAAAATAATCTAAATTTTAATGCCATTTTTTTTGGTGGTAAGTATATTTACTACGGCCTATTAGAAACTTATTGACTTTTATTTTTCGTTATTTATAAAATAAATTTTATAAATGCTACAAACTTGTACTTTTGTACGTTTTCTTAAGCTACCAATTTTATTCAAACGCACTTCAAGAAAGTTGAAGTTATTAAGAAATGGAAACCTAAATTAAAAGTGGTAAAATAGTTCACCAAAAGCTTCAAAAATTGGTGGTAAGCATACTTACCACGGTCTTCGAAAGGGTTTATAGACTCAAAGCCAAATAATCCCAGAACACCAAAGTGGTAAAACATTTGAATAATTTAAATGTAGTGGTGGGTATAAAACTGTTAATCAAATTTGCAAAACTAATTAAATTTGAAAAACCAAGAAGTAACAGAAACTTTTCTACCATTAGGAAAACTATTTTCAAGAAGCAGAGCAAGTTAGCATCTCTGTAATTTTGTGATTCTCAATTTGAGAAACTTTAACTATCACTCATTTATTTCTTACAGATCATGGGCACCCTGCTAATTAAAATATTGAAAATTAAAACTAATTACAAAACACGTGTTTCTATTAAAAATAAATGGTGTTTTTTTAAATGAATGTTAAGCAAATATTTACCGCTTTTTCCTGTATGATCAGATAAGGGCCCGTGATCATTTGGTGATTTTTTTGCTTTGGACCAAACAGCTGAAGTGACGTCATTATCTGGATGCCAACCACAGTCATCGTGATCAAATGTGCAATTCAAAGCTGCAATTAAAATATATAATGTTCCATGCTTTAATTTACTATTATTTAGTCTTGTTCGATCCAAATAAAATGTGATAACAAAATAATAACAATAATGTGATAGCAAAATAGCAACAAGCTGAAATTAAAATAATGTTCCGTGCTTAATTTACTTTTATGCGGTATTTTAATTAATATCGATCTAAATAATACATGAGGTAGCAAAATAATAACAATAATGCGATAGCAAAATAATAACAAGATGAAATGAAAATGCAGAATGTTCCACGCTTAAATTTTCTGTTATTCGGTCTTTCACTTAATATTCGGTTCAAATAAAATAATAACAATAATGTTTAATAGTGTATCTAGTCTATACAGGATGATAAGTTAATTATTTTTATGAATTTCAAAAGATAAAACTGAGACCATTTTCAACCATGCTTTTAAAAATATTTTGAAGTGTTATTGAAGTGTTTGATAAAAAAAAACAAACATGGCTGTTAATATTCTGATAAAACAAGAGCTAAGTGGATGAAGTAGGTAAGTGACATTTTCGGGGATATTTATTAATCAGGGAAAATGACATATAGTGGTCGCTTCAATATGCGTATGTTTAATCTAAGAGGATTGTTTTTGCTTTCACTTCAATTTTGACACAACTAATCCACATTAGTTTCGATTATAATTGCGCGATATTAATTTTAAATTTAGCGGGAAATAAAATAAGGAAAATAACTACAAGTGTAACTTTCTGATAAATCCATAATAAAATATTTCGGATTCAATTTTCTTATTCTGATTGTAGCCACTATGAAAATGACACCCGCTTCATTCATTCTTTTCTTCAAATGCATGGAATTAATGGGTTTGGCTGCCACATTTATTAAATTGTTCAAGAGAGCGTTTTTAGTGCATTTCTTTGGTGAAAAGCATCTTGTTTTTCATATCTATCTTATTATATAAAACGCTAATACGTACGTATGTATGTATTGTATCAATAAAACCGATGATATTTCTTTTCTCGCGTTGGCAACAGTTTTCATTTTTAATTGATTGGATTCGGCGCGCAAGAGCACGTAGTGAGCAACCAGATAACAATAACCAGAGTGAGCATTATCAGGTTGTTCAATTCAGATTCATGCAC